TGGCCAAGGTTTGGCAGTCGTTGACCGTCAACAACAGTCAGATCTGGCTTTTTTTTGGTCAGATCCACTGTGGGTTTGGCAGGAAAAAGCCAGATCGGTGAATTACTGGCAAGTTTCGGTCGTGGTGTAGGTCGTTGTTATAGATTCCAGCTACCACTGAAGATGGTTCCCAGAATCTGGCGAGTATGGGTTGGTGGGGGTGTTTTTGTTAATTTTCAAACTTTTTTTGGGGGGTATTTAATGAAATTAATAAACTTAAGGGGTCTAAACAATTAAAAAATATAGTAATATTTCTCAAATAATGTGCCGAACAATATTTGGGGAATAAGATTAGGAAATGTTCTTTAAAGGTGGTGTTGAACTGAAGGTGGACGTGACATGAATTGTGATCCCCTTCAAAGAAGACCTGACAGAAGTGTGCTTAGCCTTTAGTATAAATCCTACTGAAGATGATGGGGGATTTAATTGGGAACATTCATCAACAAGGGATGGAGGTGCACTATGATGTTGCTGGAAAAAGGATAGGTTTGGTCCTCGTGCTTGCTAAAGGAGTATTAATATTAATCACATTGGATGAAAGAAGTTGTTAAAAGAATATTAATATTAATGGAAAAACTTCAATTTATTTCATTAGTGTTGTGATTTTTGCAAGTGTACGAAATCGTGCAAGTAATAAAATATAAGTATACGGATGTCGAACTCTAGGGAATTATTACTATCAATTATCAAAATTAACCATTCTATTACTATTTGATTAAAGAAAATCTTGGGAAAAATTCTAAACTAAATTAAACAATGAAAACAAATTAAAAACCTGGAAAATATAGACCTAAACAAAAACTTTGATTTTACGCAAGACGATTAAACCTAGGGCATGGACTTTGCACGAACTCTACTTATACATGTTGATAATTTATGCTAACCTTATTAAGCCTTTTCTATACGTCAAACTCCCTAAAATTCTAATAACTTTCTCTCTAACAATTATTAAATTAACTCCTAATTACTAACTCGAATTATCTCTAAATTAGATTTAAGTATTAGAAGATCATTAACCTCTATAAAGTTTACCGAAACCTCATAAAATGCGGTAACCTATCGCTAGCGTTTACTCTACTTATACTAAGTATCATCTCTCTATCTCAACCTAGTCCATTAATTCATTCAATTCTCAGGCCCTTAAGAATTAAGAGCATTAAACACAATAATAAAACTTAGAAAGAATGTTTAATAAAGATTAACAAAAATATATCAACATATAATAATAGAGACTGGGCTACAACTTAGCCCTGGAGAATAAATTTTGTTCATAATCAACATGAAAGAAACAATCATCTTTATTAAATTAACAAACATAAGTTTAAGACAAAAATAAGAAGAGCTTCTCTATATTTTGAATCAAAAGCTCCAGAAATTCTGTCTCTTTGATCTTCTCTTGTTGTTAGCCTTCTCTAATCCTCTCCCATTCTCCCCTTAAAATTAGCTAAAGACTTATATTTATACTCATAGGGTATTAGGGTTATGTTTCCCCCTTTTCTATTTAGCTTAGAACTCCTAATTTCCAAAATACCTATCATAAAACGGATGCAGATTTTTCCAGAAATCATGGTTGTGTCGCGGCATTATGTCGAGGCATTGATGGTTCTGCTGTAAAACCCTTAAATTATCCAAAATCTACTGTGCCTCGGCATTATGCTGAAGCACTGAAAAGACGGTGATTTTGAGCATGACAACGTTCGAATATGGACAAGTGGTAAACATAAGAAACTTAGAGCTTCAAATAAGCTTTCCAATGGTCCAAGAATCGTCTCAATTAGAGCTCTACAACTCTAGTTATTGTCGAAATACCGAAGCATGTTCAAATTGGAGCGTATTCCAAGATTTTCTCTTCAACTTTAAAACATTATAACTTCTTCAATTTAGGTCCGATTAACGAACCGTTTGTTCCTGGTCGTCACTTATTCCATCTCCAACGTTATTCGTCAACTAAATTTCATCTTTAAGCATTGAAGACATGACAATACTAAAAACATACCCGTGATTCCGTAAAAGACAATTGTAAAATAATTAAACCAAATTACTCAATTTAAACCTAATTTCCCACAAATAATCTCCATAAACCACCAAGTAAATATGTATTTTCAAGCTGTTATCAATTGCTCAATTAAACTGTTGGCAGTGGAGGCTCTTCCTATGTGTTGCTCATTTTTATGTCTCTTTGGGGTATAAACTCAAAGAAGTAGTGGAAAGGCCACATTCTTACTTGTATGGTCATATTCTAAGATTTCCAATTATGACTCATTCTACCCCAAAATATGTTGGCGTGAGAAGTGGTTTCATTATTCTGAAAAATTGAGGAATCCATTCCCACACGTTGCTTTTGATCATCACTTTTAATTCTCCACTCTTTTCCTTCGTTTTTGCTGGGACCAATTTTGGTCACTCTTGCTAGTTGAAAATGTGTATGAACCAAATACAGTGGATATTATCTGGCCCCTGCCACCATGAAATGAAACTTTCGTCTTTCGTTATTTTCTTATTTCTTCAAGCTAACAATAGACCATCAAACAAAGAATCTTTGTGCACCAATATAAGCAGTGTTGCTCATTCAACATATTTAGTAAGAATGTGCTTATGGAGTTTCTCTTACCATGTGTTGCTCATTTTCATGTTTCAGGTCTAAACTCAAAGTAGTGGAAGGGCCACATTCTTGTATATTCTAAGGTTTCCAATAATGGCTAATTCTACCACTAAACATGTTGGCATGAGAAGTGGTTTGATTATTCTGAAAAAGTGAGGAATCCATTCCCACACGTAGCTTTTGATCCTCCATTCTTTTCCTTCTTTTTGTTGGGACCGATTTCGGTCTCTCTAGCTGATTGCAAATGTGTATGAAACCAAATACAATGGATAATATCTGGCCCCTGCCACCATGAAATGAAACTTTTGATTGTGCTAGTCAGTGGCTCGCTCAAATAATGGACGGTGTGTTTAAGTTTTAGTGGGACTAGCGATGAAAATGTGTCTATTTTGTTGGGGAATATTCAGCAAAGAGTAATAAATGATGTTGCTAATGGGAAATATAGATTCTCAAATTTTTTTGATTCACATAAATATGAACAAGGGAGAAATATAGATCAATTCAGAAAAGAATGGCCAATATGAAAACCTAAAAACTCGACATGACATATCACTTATTTCTCGTCTGATTCTATAAGGTAGCATTCCGCTTTTGATAATGACAATACTCTGTTTTTATTAGCTGGAATTAAGCTTGAGATATGATCAATGTTTTAAGGGGGAATTGCTTCACCATATGTTGCAGATATCACTCTGGGTGCTTCCTTGCAGAAGTTGAGATGTCACATCATAGCATATGTTGCAAATATCTCTCTCATGTGGTTCAAAACTTGTCAACCCAATAAAGATTAAGCTTTGAAGAACAAAATGCAGAAATACTGGACTCAGTTAACTCAGGGCCCTCCACCAGAAATACTGATATGAATTATGAAGTGATTGAGAATTACTTTGACATGGCCGGCAATTCCATCGACTTTGCTATTTTTATTTCTTCAGCACTTGACAGCTCGAGAAATATTAGATCAATTAGTTTGAGTTGTAATTTATCACTGAAAACAAAAGTGGAAATGCAACAAACGAGGCTTTCTCTTTATTGTTCAAAACAAAAGTGGATAGCATCCCATGCAATCCAATCTAGAGGTGTGCTTCTCTGTTTTTTTATGCCTTAGTTGTTTCAGTGCCAAACAAAGATCTCTCTAGAGGTTCTAAGCAAGTATGGTCCATGCTTTACTCTAAATCAAGGCAAAGTAAAAACTCCAAATTACTTGAAAATGCTGCGCAAAGACCAAACCCAAGTCAAATACATTCAATCCAGAATCTTTAAGCCAAGAAACTCCGGTACTGATGATGACCATTTAAGGCAAACACAGGCCATCACAATCGGTACTCAGCCAATTCAATTTGAAGGGATATCCAGCCAGTTCTATATAACTATACCTGGGCACGCCAAATCAAGATGTTCTTCTTTTTGACACTGGTAGCCCCATCACTTGGACGCACTGCACGCCATGTCTAACTTGCTTTAAACAAAAAATGGAAATGCAACACACGAGGCTTTCTCTTTATTGTTCAAAACAAAAGTGGATAGCATCCGATGCAATCCAATCTAAGGATGGATTTGATTGGATAATACTTTGGATTATGGATTATCCAATTGATAAATTTTAATATGGATGTTTAATTTTTTTTTTTTTTTAATTAATTTTTCAAGTCTTCATATCAATTTTTGTATTTTAAGCCTAAGTAATTGTCAAAATTTTAATTTTCCTTCATACTAATTGGTATTTTAATAAGTATTTGATAAATATTTAAAAATTTATAGTAATAATATTAATTATTAGTAGGTGTAATCTCTAGCTTAATCTAGATCAGACTTCTCTAATCTATCAGAATCTAGTTGAATTATTGAATTCTAACACTTATTTTGGTCGTAAAAGGCAGTGAAATATTTCACCATCTTTTGTGGCCAAAATCAACGTCGGAATCCAGTTATTTGACTTTTAAGTGTATTACTTAAGAGGTCGTGAGTTAGAATTTCTCCGACTACTAATAAGAAGTAACTATAGGAAACTTACTTGGCCATTAACTTCAGGGTTTTGGAAGAATAGTCAATATGTGTGCAAATTGACCCAAAAATCTTGAACAAAAAAAAAAAAAAAAAAAAAAAATTATGAAGTGATTGGGAATTACTTTGACATGGCCGGCCATTCCATGATGAACTTAACTATTTTTGTTTTTTCAGCACTTGTCAGCTTGAGAAAAATCGGATCAATTAGTTTGAGTTATAATTTATCTCGAAAAAAAAAAGTGGAAATGCAATACACGAGGCTAAGGAACCGTGTGTTTGATGGGAAAGGTAATAATTTAATTCGAGTATTTCCGGGCCCGGCTGCAACATGAAACTCGGCATGTAAAACATAGTGGATTGGATAGGATCCGATGCAATCAAATCCATTCTTAAAATCTAAGGATGGGTTGGATTGAATTTTTGTGGATAATAATTTTAATCATGGATCATCCAATTCAGAAATTTTGATTCCAAATGCTCTCTAGTTCATACAATAATTAAGCCTTCATCTTCAGTTGCTTATATAAGGACTGCCAAGATACAACAGAGAATGTGAGTTTTAGTTAACTGTAAGAAACAAATTCCATATCCACCATGTACCTCAGGTATATCATCCTGGTTTCACTTCTTTGTTTAAGCCTTCTTTGTTCATCAAGCAACACTTATGTTGAACAGCCGAGTGAATTAAGCCACCACTCTGATAGCCACATTGTTTCCGTCCAATCTCTATTGCCATCTACTGTTTGCAACCGTTCGCCACCAGGTCATGCATAATACTATTACTAATATGTTCTATCAATAGATAAATCTCATCTCTCTGTTAGTTACTATTTGCACTTGAGAACATGTAAAAATTTCTCTTTATTTTACATTGAGTTGAGATGTGATCTTATGATACTTACTAAAACCCCGCATGTTTGTGTGATTCAGTTTCCGGGAAAGCGACTACTCTAGAAGTGGTAAACAAGTATGGGTCATGCTCTCAACTCACACAAGGGAAATCAAGCACTCCCTCTCTCTCCCAAATTCTACTCCAAGACCAATATCGAGTTGAGTTAATTCATTCCAGGCGGCGCAACCAATCAATTAAGACACAAGAGGACTTTACCATCCCTTCGATATCGGGTAATACTGTTGGAACTGGCGGCAATTACTTTATTAAAGTGGGCTTAGGTACCCCGACACAGAGTGTTTCACTCATAATTGACACTGGTAGCGGCATCACTTGGACTCAGTGCAAGCCCTGCCCAAAAAATGGTTGCGCTAAGCAAGTAGATCCCATATTTGACCCATCCAAGTCCAAATCATATAAGAGTATTTCGTGCAGCTCATCACTTTGCAGTCAAATTAATGGTAATTTTACTGAAATTTTGTTAGTACTACTACAGTACTTGCTATTTTATTATAGTTTCCATCAACGAAATTTTGTTATTGTCCTTGCAGGAGGCAATTGCTCTTCCGAAAAAGCTTGTCCCGTAAGTTATAGTTACGTCGACGGTTCTTCACTGTCCGGCTCCTATGCAACAGAAAAGTTAGTCGTAGATTCAGCAGACAACCAACTGCAATTTACCAAGCCGAATTTTATTATGGTTTGTGCACACAACTTCACTGGCGACGATGAAGGAGTGGTCGGGATAATGGGTCTTGATCGAAATGGATTATCTGTTATATCACAAACATCCTCTTTGTTCAAAAACTACTTCTCATATTGTCTGCCTGCTTTCTTCGGCTCCAGTACTGGATATATAACTTTTGGCAAGACCAATAGTTTCACAAACAAGGTGATTAACTTCACACCATTAACCACAGACTCTGAAACTTATGATGTTGAGATAACGGGACTGAGTCTTGGCGGACATATACTACCGATTGACAGTCAGGTTTTCAAGAAAGCTGGAGGGACTATTGACTCGGGCACAGTCATTTCACATCTGCCACCCGCGGCTTACGCTGCTCTAAAGTTAGCTTTCCGTAAGAAGATGTCGAAATATAAGATGGTGAAACCGAGTGGCTTTCTAGATACATGTTACGATTTTAGTAAGTATGATACCGTTACAATACCAAAGATGTCAATATTCTTTAAAGGTGGTGTTGAACTGAAGATGGACGTGACAGGAATTGTGATCCCCTTCAAAGAAGACCTGACAGAAGTGTGCTTAGCCTTTAGTCCAAATCCTACTGAAGATGATGGGGCTTTAATTGGGAACATTCAGCAACAAGGGATGGAGGTGCACTATGATGTTGCTGGAAAAAGAATAGGGTTTGGTCCCCGTGCTTGCTAAAAGATTATGTTGAGAATCAAGCTGGCAATATGAGGTCGCAAAGTTTGTTATATTTAGTTAGTTAGTTAGTTAGTTGTTTTATAAAAGTTAGTTAAGCAGTTAGTTTATAACAGAATGTATATAGAGCTTTGTAACAGAGCAGAAAAGTAGTTGAATTTGATATTCATTTTCCAGAATTCACCTTCACGAGTTTTCCTCTTCTCTCATCCTTCACTCTTCAATTCTTTTTCCCCAAATTTAACATGGTATCAGAGCAAAATTGGGGCTAGAAGTTCTCTGAGAAAATAGCTGGAAAATTCGAATCAATCAGTGCTCTCATCCTTCGGCACTTCTTCTTCGATCATTTCTGAAGATTATTCCTCAGCTCTTCTCTTTTAATCTCTCAAGAGACAGCTTTCTGCTCATTCTTAAATTCAATTGAAGAATCAGAATTTCGTACCTAGCTTAATTTGAAGATGGCAGCTGCTGGCAACAACGCAAATTCTACAACTCAGCAACCTGAATCCTCTCTAACTATTGATTTTAACCATCCTCTCACTTGCATCCTTCGGATACACCAGGTGCAATACTCGTTTCTTTTCAATTGAGTGGAATTGACAATTATTCTTCATGGAGTAGGTCTATGAAAATTGCTTTGTTAGCAAAGACTAAGATTGGATTTATTGATGGCACTTGCACAAAAAACACAGTTTCTGCTAGTTTGCATAATCAATGGGATAGATGTAATGCCATAGTCCTCTCATGGCTCATGAATTCAGTAACAAAAGAACTCTTAAATGGAATTGTCTATGCTTCAAGTGCACATCTAGTATGGAAGGATTTACAAGAAAGATTTGATAAAGTAAATGGCTCCAGAATTTTTCAATTACATAGGGAGATAGTCACTCTAGTGCAAGGGACTTATTCGACTTCCACATATTTCTCTAAACTGAAACTGCTATGGGATGAGTATTCGTCCATAATTCAACTTCCAACATGTGAATGTTCCATGTCAAAAACATATGTTGACCACATGCAGAATCAGAAACTTCTTTAGTTTTTAATGGGATTGAATGAAACCTATTTACATGCTAGAAGTCAAATACTGATGATGAATCCTCTGCCATCTGTGAATCAAGCTTATTCCATGCTTGTTACTGAAGAAAGCCAAAGGAGCCTTATAAGTGCTATCCCAACGAAATCATCTTCACTTGAGCCAATTGTCCTTTACTCATCTTCGAATTCCAGTCAACAGTCATCAAAGTCAAAGAAAAATTGGAACATAATTTGTGAAAATTGCAATGTAAGAGCTCATAAGAAAGATAATTGCTACAGACTAATTGGTTATCCTGCAGATTTTAAATTTACAAAGAAACAGAATTTTAATCAATCTTCTGCCAGCAATGTCACTTCTATTACACAACCAGATCCTATTTCCTCTTCTATTGAAAATCAAATTGCTCCAGTCTTCTCCAAAGAGCAGTATGCTGAGATACTGAAGTTACTTCATAAAGAACCTTCCATGACACCATCAACTGATGCCAATGTCAATATGGCAGGTATCGACTCTTACTTTTCATCACTACATCATGGAAATTATTGGATCCTTGATACAGGTGCTAGTCACCATATGACAACATCTCTGAACAAGCTAACAGATTTGATGGTGTCTACCTCTCCTTCTTCAGTCAGGCTACCTAATGGACATCACTCAATGGTTTCTCATATTGGTTCTTATGTGATTGGTCCTAATCAAAGACTAAATAATGTCTTATTTGTGCCTGATTTCGAATTCAACCTAATCTTTATAGCAAAGCTGACCAGAGACTTAAAGTGTTTTGTTTCATTTTATCCTGATTTCTGCATATTTCAAGACCTCTCCAATGGCAAAGTATTGGGGATTGGTAGAGAAGCTGAAGGACTTTACTTCTTCATGCCTTGTCATGTTCCAGCAGCTCATCATTCTGTTTTGAATAAATCAGTGGGTACTTCTTGTTCATTTTCTGTAAATCTTTGGCATAAGCGCCTTGGACATGTACCTCATGTCAAACTGAAATATTTTCCTGGAATAAAATCTGTTGTTTTTGGTGATAATATGCACCGTGATATTTGTCCACTTGCAAAACATGTTAGACACCCCTTTCCTCTCAGTACTAGCAGATCATCTGCTTGTTTTCATCTCTTACACATGGATGTTTGGGGCCCTTATCACACCCGCACACATGATCAACATAAATTCTTCCTTACCATAGTGGATGATCATTCTCGCATCACTTGGGTTTATCTCATGAAACACAAACATGAGGTCATTATACATATTAAGAATTTTCTTACTCTTATCAGAAATCAGTTCTCAGCTTGTATTAAGCACATTCGAACTGATAATGGCCTTAAGTTCCTCAACTCCTAGTGTGCAGCTTTATTCACCTCTCTTGGCATTGTACATCAAAGAACCTGTGTCCACACTCCACAACAGAATGGAGTATGGAAAGGAAGCACAGGCATCTTCTCATAGTAGCCAGAGCTTTAAGATTTTAGGCCTCCATTCCCATTCAATATTGGGGGGATTGCATACTTACTGCTTGCTATCTGATCAACAGATTTCCTACCGATATTTTTCATGGCAGGTCACCTTAGGAGATCTTGTATGGTTCCCCTCCACCTATTGGACATCTCAAAGTATTTGTCTGTCTTGCCTATGCTTCTAATGTGGCTTCTAGAGATAAATTTGGATTCAAAGCTGTGCCTGCAGTTTTCATGGGGTACTCTTCTGTTCACAAGGGATACAAGTTACTCAATCTGGAAACTTTTAGTTTCTTTGTCAATCGTGATGTTCAGTTCATTGAGGATTTTTTTCCTTTTCAACACAAGAATGCTTCACATGTTCCTGTCTTTCCAACTGATCCATTCATTACTACTTCCCTTGATACTTTGCCTCAATCCTTTCCATCAACTCTCGCATCACCAGACACTTTACATCCACCTTCATCTAATAACCATACATCTCCTTCAAACTCACCTGCTCCTCTTTCAATTCCTGTTTCTATTGATGTCAGAAGATCTCAAAGGCATCATAAGCCTCCTATTTGGCTTCAAGATTATATCACTCCTTCTGCACATTATTCCATCTCCAAGTATGTTTGCTATTCCCATCTTTCACCTCCATATCAATGTTTCTTGTCTTCCATGTCTCAAATTCCTGAGCCCACATCCTTTCATGAAGCTTCTCAAGACCCCAATTGGGTTGTTGCTATGAAAACAGAAATAGAAGCTTTGGAGGCCAACCAAACTTGGACTCTAGTATCCCTTCCACTTGGCAAACACCCTATAGGTTACAAATGGGTTTACAAAGTCAAGTATAACTCAGATGGCAGTCTAGAGAGGTACAAAGCCAGGCTTGTGGCTAAAGGTTATAACCAATAGGCCGACATTGATTACACAGAGGCTTTTTCCCCAGTTGCTAAAATGGTCACTGTAAGATCAGTTTTACCTTTGGCCTCCATTCATGATTGGCCTCTCTTTCAAATGGATGTGTTTAATGCCTTTTTACAGGGTGATTTATATGAGGAAGTGTACATGTCTATGCCTCCAAGATTTGGCAATCAGGGGGAGAATCACATGGTCTGCCGATTGCTCAAATCCTTATAGGGATTAAAGCAGGCCAGCAGACAATGGAACCTCAAACTCACTGATGCCTTGATCAAAAGTGGTTATTCACAGAGTAAACATGACTAGTCCTTATTCACCAAACGAGAAGGCAGTAACATTGTTATCTTGCTTGTCTATGTAGATGACATTTTGATCACCGGTAGTAGCTTGGAAATGGTAGATTAGTTAAAGAAAATTCTTCAAAACAATTTCAAAATAAAAGATCTTGGTCACCTCGGATATTTTCTTGGCATAGAAGTGGCCAGATCTTCTGAAGGCATTGCATTAAATCAGAGAAAGTATGCTCTTGAACTCATTTCAGAGGCTAGGTTGTCTGGTGCAAAGCCTGCAGATACTCCCCTTAAGCAGAATTTAAAACTCATATCATATGAGTTTGATCAGAAATTTAATCCAGAAGTTAAAGATGCGTTATTAGAAGACCCTAGCATTTTCAGAAGAATGATTGGCAGGTTGCTATATTTAACTATGACCAGGCCAGATATTGCATTTGTTGTTCAGACACTAAGCCAACATATGCAATCTCCTAAGGAGTCACATTTGGAAGCAGCTTTAAGAGTGATCAGATATGTAAAAAAGGAGCCGGCTCTTGGGTTGTTTATGTCTTCAAAAAGTTCAATGAAGTTGGTGGCATTTTGTGACTTAGATTGGGCCTCCTGTGCTGTCAACAGAAAACCAGTCTTAGGGTATTGTGTTAAACTGGGAGACTCTCTTTTGTCTTGGAAGATCAAGAAGCAAAACACGATAGCCAGGTCTTCTACAGAAGCTGAATACAAGAGTATGGCTACAGTAGTGGCAGAGTTGACTTGGTTAATTGGGTTGCTCAAAGAACTGTGAAAGCTATAACTCCAGCATCACTACACTGTGATAACAAGGCTGCTTTACAGATTGCAACAAATCCTATGTTTCATGAGAGAACGAAACATATTGACATTGATTGCCATTTCATAAGGGAGAAGATTCAGAGTGGAATGATAACCTCAAAATTCGTACCTACTGGAGAACAATTGGCAGACATCATGACCAAAGGTTTAGGCAGATTGCAACATGAAAAATTCACGTCTGGGCTCTGTCTGAAGAACATACATAAGGCGCCAACTTGAGGGAGAGTGTTGAGAATCAAGCTGGCAATATGAGGTGGCAAAGTTTGTTATATTTAGTTAGTTTGTTAGTTGTTTTATAAAAGTTAGTTAAGCAATTAGTTTATAACAGAATGTATATATAGCTTTGTAACAGAGCAAAAAAGTTAAGTTGAATTTGATATTCATTTTCCAGAATTCACCTTCACGAGTTTTCCTCTTCTCTCATCCTTCACTCTTCAATTCTTTTTCCCCAAATTTAACAGAGTATTAATATTAATGGGAAAAGTTACCCAATTATTAAGGCTGTGCGTATTGTCACTAAATAAATTTGGGTGTGGTCGATGTAATAACTAGCTAGCTGCGACTCCTTGAGTTATGCTGGGATCAATTAACTAATGAGTTCTTGTCGTGGTCTTATATAGATATATGTACTTCCAAATGTTTTCTATAATATTTTGCTTGGTTCAATTTATTTTATTAATCACACTGGATGAAAGAAGTTGCTAAAAGAATATTAATATTAATGGAAAAACTTTAATTTATTTTATTGGTATTGTGATTTTTGTAAGTGTAAGAAATCGTGCAAGTAATAAAATATAAGTATATGGATGTCGACANAGATGCATGTTTCACGTATCTTCTTCTTCTCTCATCTTTCTCTCTTCAACTTATTTTCCTCATCTTAACACTTGTTTTCTTGCCTGAAAATCAACTAGCCTAAGCATCTACTTCTTTTCCTTCAAAATAATTTAAGCATCTAATCTTTACTCAAAATCAATTAAAGTAGCTATCTCTTTAATTGATTTATTCCAAATTAATTACAGTACTTCGTCTTTTGTTTCAAATCAACTAAACATCGAATATATTAAAATATTATACTACTGTACTTTCTCTTCCTCCCTCGTGAAACTTTATCATATAAAAGCTCCTATAATGCTATACATATCAAATATATTAAAAAAGAGTTATTTAAAAATTATTATTATTATTTACTCTTTATAATTAAATTTAATATGAACTCTTAATAAGAAAACTCTTTTTTATAAATGACGTAATAAAGTATATTTCTTGAACACATGAAGAAATAGGAGGGATCATTAAGTCATAAATCAGTTCAGTTTTCGCTTTCTCTGTTTCATAATAGACTTCTAATTGACAATTTGTTTAATAATGAGGCACAAATGACAGTACCAAGTGAATTTTATTTGATGAAGATTAATTAGTTTTATATATAAGGGTTAATATTTCAATCGGTGAAAGTTGCTCAAATTGAATGTTTGAAAAAGACTAATGTTGAATAACGGCATGTTGGTAATTTCCCAAATTAGGAGTAGCAAATTGTTATTTAGAAACAATAGGGTGAGAAATGTTATGTTTTTTGGCCTTTCAAGGGATTTTTAAACCCCTTAGGTATTAATAATGATGCAAAAGTCTCTGGTGTTTATCAAGTGTTAACAAAATCAAGTTAAAATCAGCAGAGGTGGGGTAAAACAGTCAAACACATGCCTGACGGGCTTTTCAAGTTTAGGCAAACCTCGAGGGGTTTAAAGTCATTATTCATTTCTTTGTCATAAACAAATAGTTTTGGTCAAGAGTAAAAAAAGTATTTAACCTCTAGTGTTGTGTAAATTGTTAGTGCTGTTAACATCTTATACACGACAGAAGGTTTTGCGTCATTATTGATACCTAAGGGCATTTTGAGTAATATTATATACANTTTTTTTTTTTTTACTAACTTTATGACCATTAAATGATAAAATTACCTCTAAGGATAAAATTCTTATTATTTTTTTTTTTTTAAGGAAACACAGAAAAAAAAAATTTGAAAACCAAAAAATAATATTAAATTCTTAGAATATTTTTGAAAGCAAAATATTGAAATGATTTTTAGAAAAAAAAAAAAAAAACCAATAACCGCCAAGTTTGAAAATTTTCTTAAATTATATTTTTCTGGATTTTTTATTTATAAATTTCATGTGGTTTAGGGTATCTTTATAAAATATGGCCTTGGCATAAAAGAAATTGAAATTTCTAGGTTCTTTTTTTCTTGGTTTTGTAGATGCTTGTTTGTAGAGGTAGTATGGTTATTCCATAAGTCTAAATTGGTTAAAAGTTGGATTTAATCACAAAAACTGGCAGCAAGTATTGAAGTTTTGATATGCCCAAAACCTGTGGATGAACTTGTAAATTTCACAAACCTTAGGGATAGGTTTAGTCCTATAAAAGCTCCTATATTGCTGTACATATTAAATATACTAAAAAGGTAAAATAAAAAATATAATATATTATTTTAAAGAATTCAAATAATTATTTTACTAAAATACTTCTCTTAAAAATATATTTTATTATATACTCTTCATATATTGAATTGTACTATAATATTAATTTTATATCTCAAACGCATATAAAAATTAACACTTACGTAAATTACCATAGTATTTTTCACACTAATTCAACATCCCTGTGATGATTCAGAATAAATGACGTAATAAAGTCATAAATCATATTTCACTTTATCTGCTTTTCAGAAGAGTAAACTACTTTTTCTCACCCAAATAATGGCTTAATAACACTTTTTCATTCATAGAATTTTAAAATATCACTTTACTACTCAAATTTATGTTTCATTTCCGATTTTGGCATTATTACCACCCTACACCACCACAATTCTCTTCTCCGATCAGTACTCACCAAAACCCCTCAAACCTTACTCCCGTCGACCCTACCAATCATCGGCAATTAAGCGATTAGGGTTTGCACAACTGTCTATCACAAGTTAAATTCCGATCAATTCCAACCACCAAAATCAAACTTTCTATCACCAAAAGGCTCATCGGTCTCTCCTATTCAAAAGCTCCAATAGTCTGGACTAAGTTTGCTTTCTGTTTGCCATTGAAATATAAATTTGGATTATAAAGTGGTATTTTAAGTTTCTGGGTGGAAAAAATGATTAAGCTACTATTTGGGTGGGAAAAAATCATTAACTCTTTTTCATAAATAGGGCATCGAACTGCTAAATTGTGTAATAAGGGGCAGAAATAGCAGTAGCGCAGAAGCAATATCAGCACTGATACACTGATAGTGCCAACTGCCAGGTATGTAATTACTTCTTTGTTTAAAGCTAATTAATTTGTTTATTTGTTATAATATGTTCTTGGTTCAGAGCTATTTTCTTCATGCAGTTGAGGGAATTAAACGAAATCAGCAGGTTGGATGATGTGCCAGCATTTTCTAAGTTTACTTAATATGTATAACTGCTGATCATGGCATCTCTAGTCATTAAAGTTATTTAATAAAAATTATAATCTTTCTATTAATAATTGAGAACCTTAGTCAGAATTTCTTCTTTTTAGTAGACTTCTCCCTTTAGGTGTCTTGACGTAATTTTTTTTTTTTTCTTTTAAAAGAAATAGGCATTGGCATTGTAATGTTGTTGATTTTTTTTGTTTGTTTTTTTTTTTTTTTCACTTTCACCCTTCCAATCATAATGTGCCATGTGTATAAAAGTTTTTAAATGGAATAAAATTGCCTGTTAAATACAACAATATGCAGTACTTACAACTTGGATATCTTGACTTTAGTTACTTCATTGCATTCTAGTTTAGTGGGAAAATTAGATCTTTAGTTTATATTTCCGCTTTCTTAATTATATATGTACAGTTGATACTAAAAATAAAAAATAAATGGTAGTTCTTTAATTAATCAACAGCTAGCACTCACATGACTTTTTATTTCTTATTCTAAATTTTGTTGCGTAATCTTCATTCCCATTATTTCTAACTGTTACTGTTATTAGCAGTTTGATGTATTCAACGAAGACAGAAATGATGACACTTTCTCCAGATTTGAAGAGAACTTGGAAAAAATGGGACCTACGAGTTACTGTTATGCTTAGCCTCATCCTCCAAATTGTACTCATCTTTCTGGGTAACCGCAGAAAGTATAATCACAGGTTTTGGATCAAATTTGTTTTATGGTGTGCCTACTTATCTGCAGACTCCATAGCAACTGTCTCCCTTGGTGTCATCTCAAATAACCTTGCCGATTTATTTGAAGACAATGCTGGATACATTCTTAATGCTAACATTGAATTAACAGCATTCTGGGCACCATTTCTTCTTCTCCATTTGGGTGGCCCCGACACCATCACTTCTTATGCCCTTGAAGACAATGAGCTTTGGCTCAGGCACTTCCTTGGACTAATTGTCCAAACAGGAGTCGTTATTTATGTTCTCTCCATGGCTTGGACAGGCTCTTATCTGTCGTTTCTCTTTATCCTAATGTTTTTTGCCGGGCTTATCAAGTATGGAGAACGCACTGTGTCACTTTGGAACGCCAGCAGTGAGAAACTTAGAAAGAAATTCAAAAGTTTACACAAAAATACGGAAGATGAGGTGGGTCAACGAATTCTTAAGCAACACGGTAGTAAGGATGAAGAAGGGTATTTAGTGGGAACAGACATGATCACACCATTTGATTTTCCAGTGGATCTCTCTGGGGCTTGTGGCAACAACGTTAACGACAATTCTGTTTCTGATGAAGATCGATTAGTTATAGCTGGCTCACTGATGAAAGTAACTATGAGTCTTTTTTCAGATACAATACTTACCTCCACAATCAAAGAGACTACTCACTAACTTTTCAAAAACATGTCTGTTGAAAATGCTTTCAAAATCATTGAAATGGAAACTGCATTTACATTTGATTTGCTTTACACCAAGGCACCTCTACTTTATACTCCTTGGGGCTTGTTCCTTCACTTCGTCACCTTCTTTCTTACCTTTCTAGTGCTGTTAATCTTCGTTTTTCTTGCTCTCAATCACAAACATAATTATTCAAAAATTGATCTTTTCGTAACATTTGGTTTGCTAATTGGAGCTATTGTTTTAGAGATTTATGCAGCACTAGTACTTCTCTCATCGGACCGTGCTGTTGTTTGGTTTTGGAAACATAACAAGACTTCCACCTGGCATATCCCTTCTTGCTTTCAACCATCTAAAGGCCCCAGGTGGTCAAATAAAATGGCTCAGTACAGTCTGCTTAGCTTCTCCATGAAAGAAAAAACCCATCTGTGTCTCAAAATCTTAAAGACCCTGCGCTGCCTCAAAATCTTAAGTCTCTTCAACATTGATAAAATGCTAGAAGAAAGTTTGTATGTGACCTATGAGGAAGTCCCAGAAGAGTTGAAGAAGTTGATCTTTCAGAATTTAAAGGATAAAGCTGCAAAACGGACACGTGTCACCGAAAATCAGGCTACCCAAGTTGAAGAACCTACAAGCAGTAGAAAGTCTGAAGGAATTCCGAATTTTGGAGAAGATCTTTCGAAGCGCATTCTGTTTTGGCATTTTATTACGGAAATTTCATACTACATGGATAAAAGCCATATTAAAAGTGATCCAAATATTCATTTTAGAAAGTATCCAAACTCTAATAGTAAATTAATGAAGAAAATTTCTAGATATATGATGTATCTCTTGGTCATTCATCCTTCTCTGTTATCGATCGGGATGAGTGCAATTAGCTTTGAAGACGAGGTTGATACATTGGTGGATACTTTCCAAACGATGAGATCCGAAGGGAAGAAAGGAAGAAACGAGATGCTCACATATTTGGATGAACATGGACTTGGCGACAATAAGAAGGGAGTTTTACGGGATGCATATTCCTTTATGAAGAGAATGAACGAACCAGACCAGGTATTATTTCTTATTTATTTTAATTAATTTTGGAAGTCATTAGCAACTAATTAATACTTCAATTAATGATTTTGTTATGTGTCACATGATCTAAGAAAATCAAGCTATGGGATGAAATTGGTTGCTCTTGGTTGGAATTGCTGGCATATGCAGCACGCAAGTGTAAAGGAAGCCTTCATGCTCAAAATCTGAGATTTGGTGGAGAATTACTTACTCATGTATGGCTTCTCATGGCACAATTTGGCTTAACCGAGCACTTTCAGACATCAGAGAAACTTCATATAGCAAGGCTGGTCTCGGAATAGGGGGCAGACTGAAAGGATTTCATAGTTGTGAGCAACGGGTTTAAGTTTTCTATCATATTAGATTTCAGTTGGCTCTTGTTTGTTTGTGTATGTGTTTTTCTTCATTTCTGGCTAAACTAAGGAGAATAATTGTAATATTGGGAAATATTGTTTGTTGTGCTTATGTGTTGTTTAGTCATTGATATAATAAAAAGGAAACATGTTTTATTCCAAAGTGTTTTGGTACATTAGCAAAGTCATGAAGCATCTTATTTGGCTTACAAGTTGAGCAAAAAGAGTTACCAAACCATAATAAGTCTTCTTTTTTATTCTTTTCTTTTTTTTGTAAAAATCAGCTCAATTCTCAAAACTTTCTAAATCACTAATCCAACAACAAATGATGATGTGGGTCTTTACATAAAGGACTTTTAATTCAGAAAAAGAAAAAAAAAATGGCAAAAGGAAGTAGATATCTAACTAATTAAGAATGTATTGATATTGCTTTTTTAATTTTTGCGTTAATAGAATTAAAAAATAATGAAACTTTTTTCTTTAAGTTAAATAGTTAAAGAGATTCCTTATGAATGGGTCAAATATTTGAATCACTGTTGAGATAGTAATAAGAAAATATGTCCTACTGACAGTTACATTTGTTTGACCTAATGAAATTAAATTAGAGAATCCAATAAAACCCTTTAACATATGGTAAAGCAAATATTAAAAAAAAAAAAATGATATTAGGATAAGGAAAACCATAAAAAGAAACCAAGTAAAATATGATGATGCTAAGGTAAAAAGAAATCTGCCCTAACCCAAATTTATAACGATTAAGAAAAAATATCGGCTTTTTAATTTTTTTGCTGTGACATCTCCTAACAATCTACAAGGGTTAGCTGACTGTTGCTTCTATTGTCTTAGATTGAGCTGATGCACGGTGTTGGTCATGCTAGATCAAGGTGGCAATGATCAATATATTATTGTATGCAAGAACCATTTTTTTTTTTTGTTAAATTGTTACGAGCTATTAAACTTTGATAATAAAAATAAATGATGTGGCATTCATCAAATAAAATGGACACGAAAATTAATGCAACATTAAGAAAAAGCACTATAAAGCTTGAACATTTTCTTTCATCTTATGGCCTTATATATACACGTTTGGTAACAGCAAAAAGTGAGCTTCCAAGAAATTTCCTCTACGTATAGCAAGGAATGTCTTCGTTATACGTAAGAAATATTTTCGGAAATAAAAGATAGACTCGTAAACATTTTTCACAAACTTCTCTTATTAACGCGGACATGACAGCTCACAATTAGTCAGCTCGCATTTGGTTAGGTAGGATCCATTGTTGGATTGGTAGACCCATTACGAGTGAATCAATTATGAGCTGACATGTCGTATTTGTGAGGGAAAGTTAATGAAAATGATTTGTGAGTGAAATAATTTACATATTTTCGGTTATGGTGAGCTATAGTGGAGCCAATGTACGCCTAGGGTGGGCCAACACCCTCCATGGTATTTTAAATTTTTTTTTTTCGTAAGTACCTTAAGTCCCATACTATTTTATAATATAATAACTACCCCCTTGAATAATTAAACATAAAAACATATTAAATGAAATATTACTCGATACATCTAAAAACAAACTAAATACAATTTTAGATTACAAATAAGGCCATCATATACAACTCTAATCACTCAATCCACTAATTAAACCCAAAAACAAAATAAATGAAATTTTACATTATAAATAAATAATTCAATAAAATTTTATGATCTGGTCAACCGTTTGGTCAACCCATGATTAACACCAGTCAATACCGCACAAAGTGGTGGGTTTGCACCATGGCCGGTCCCTTAGGACTGAAAGACGATGATCTGTCGGAGTTTGATAATTCCACCATATTCGGACATGCAATTTGGCCGTAAAAGGCGGTTGAAAATTTCGCCACCTTCTGCAGCCAAGTAAAGTGTTAGACAAAATGATTCAAAGTGTGTTGGAGGGGGGAAACCCATAACTCAAATATATCGTACTCAAACACCCATAATAAAAACTACATCTCGTACTTGTATTATCAACTCCTCTACTTTCCTCTTCTTGGTAGATGTTACGTTCTGCAAACAAATTATTCAAATAATTCAAGTAATAAAAAAATCAAATAATTGCATCATATATCCAATACATAATTTAAAAAATAGCTTAATTCTTAAAGCAGTCACAATTCGTGTGAATCATGCTACTTGTACTTGGCGTGAAAAAGTATGCTAGGTGAAAAGAAAGCAACTTCTATTGGCGTAAACTCTCTACCCTGACATGGTTTTTAGTGGTTAGCCTATAAATTAATGGAAATACTGTACCCACAACCTCTTCTTACAAAGTACTTTCTCCCATAATATTGACATGACAGCTCGTTATTGGTTAGCTCGTAAATTGAAAGACGAGACCCATACAAGCAAGTAGGACTCATTTTGAAACTGATCAATAACAAGTTATCACGTCAGAGTTGTAAGAGAAAGTTTGTGATAAGAGATTGTGGATAGCATTACTCATAAAATAACACCAATTGGGTAAGGCAACATGGCCTTTCTCGGTTGGCATAATTTTTAACTCCAACAGGCAAAAATATATGCTAATGAGCAGAGTGTTTACTAGACCTGAGCAGGGCTCCGTCCCAATCGGGGGAATTGGAATGAAAAAAAAAAAATTTTCCCCCCTAAGCACATGACTGTTGGCAACCAACGGTCATGTGCTGTATTAATTTTTTTTTGTAAACTATCAATTTAACCCTTAATATCTTTGTCAATTTCAAAATTGTCAAGGGGTTTTTGGATATTTTACATAGAACTTTTTTGAAAGGCTGAACAACTTCCACCTACCCAAAGTTTGGCATAAAGACGATTGATACCCAAAAGGTTTGGAAATGACAAACAAATACTTTCTGTCATATTTTGTTAGTCTGCTAAAAGACAGTATAGTAATTTCATTCTCACCCCAAGCCCGTTTGCATAGCCCTCTTGCATCATCGATCGATTTTTTGACTGGATTTAGCATTTTTCTGCGAAGTTCGGTGATAAACAGTGGCACTGGCCCTTGTTGGCGCGCGTTGGGAATGGAGATCGATAGTTATTCCAGTCTTTTCACCATTTTTGTCTTTTAGCAGATAGAAATTCCTAACAGTACATGACAGAAAGTGGGTGTTTGTCATTTCCAAACCTTTTGGGTGCCACTTTGTCTTTACAGCAAACTTTGGGTATGTGTGAGTCGTTCACCCTTTTTGAAATTAAGCAAAAGGGTTTGGCCACGGGCTTGAGAATGTATTAATTTTTTTGTAAAATATCAATTTAACCCTTAATATTTTTGTCAATTTTAAAATTGTTAGGGGCTTTTTGGATATGTTGCATAGGACTTTTTTGAAATTAAGCAAAAGGGTTTGGGCCCAGGCCTGGTCCGGTTTGGGACCAAGGCCTCCTAGGACTAGGCCCTACAAGGACCGGTCTTAGGACTAGTCCTTTGGGTTCGGTTTTTAGGACCAGTCCCAAATGCCAAAGTCTAATGTTTACACTATTAGCGTAAATAAACATGCCAAAAAGAGAAGACAAAATTTTCCCTTTCATTGTTGGTGTGATTTATACGCAACTAGCATAAAATCTCTGTTGATTGGCGTATTTTTAAACCATGTGACGTAAAAACTATGCCACTAGGGAAGTTCACATGAAATTCTCCAGCTACGTGATTTTTATACCAATTGGAAAAATCACTCCGAGAGTCCAAACCGCAACATTTCTACAAATCCACATCAAACACAACTAAAACACTTCTATTCACATCAAACACAACAACACCTACACCACCAACACTCAGGACATTCATAAAAACAAGAAGTTCCACAACAATAATCAAATTAACCAAAAACCCTAGAAATCTAAAATGCAAAATTACTTAACCCATAATATCTTACTTAAACCCTAACAATCTAATGTCAATCGGCACTAATAATTATTAGAGAGTCGAGAAACATACAGTTTTTTTCCCATTTTAATTGAATTCTGATTGAAGATGATCTTCTCTTCAAAGTGTCGCGATTTAGTTTGTTTCCACCACAAAAATTGCCCAAAAATCAATCAATGGGTAATAAAAATACTCACTTTAATCAATCTATTCCATGCAATAAAGGAATGAAAATTCGAAAATCAAAATCAGGCTCAAAAAACCATTTTCTTTTTAAAGTGGTAGAACAACAGACAGAAATTTTGCTTGCATATGAGGGTATTTTCCGGAAAATGGCTTTTTGTGGTTATATGTGTATAGGGTTTGAAATTTTGGTTGATTATATAGGCACCGAAATTTTGGTTATGTTAATTAAAAACTCTATATTAGATTTTAAGTAATGGGATGCGGTTTAATTAGGGTTTAGGTTTAGGGTTTAGCACAACCCACATATTGTCATTCCTTTAAAAAAGCTTAATGAGGATTCAAAATTGAAGCATTAAATTTTTCTGTGATCACACCCGAGACTTTCCGACACCTGAGTCTCTGAAATCGCTAGTCGTAGAAAATATTATGACCTTTGAGATTAGCATCAAATTTCAAATTTTACTAGTGTGAAATACTTATATTGAAAAATGTTGGCTTTAGGAATTCCTAAATCCAACCTTGTAAAATTCTTTTTATGAATAATTATTCTTTCATATTCCTAAATTGTAGGTTCCTTCACCGCCCAGAAAAAAAAGAAGCTCTGTAGACAAGGAAAAAAGCTCTCACAAGAGAAGCTCTAAACACAGTGAAGAACACGCTCATAGATGTAGCTCCAGGGAGAGGGAAGATCTACATCATAATAAAAGCTTTATTAAAAGGAATTACCGCTCTCGCAAAATAAGCTCAGTTGATAGAGAAGAAAGTTATCACAAATCTAGCACTGCAAAGAACGAAGACCAAAGGAGCTCTAAGGATCAGGAAGATCGCACTCAGAAAAGGTCGGTGGATAAAGAAGACTATCATAGAAGGAGCTATGCCAACAAGATAAAACTCCCGAAATGAGCTCTAGGGATAGCTGATAGGGAAAAACGCTCATGCCATCATCATAGTAAACAGGCTTATAATCGTGAGAAGCGGGTCCAATAGTCAGGATCACTCTTTTGATCATTGAATTTATTAGTAAACAATTTTTTTCCA